ACAATTAAGAAAATGGTCATAGGAACATACATATCGATAATTACCTTAAGTGTAAATGGATTCAGTGCTCCAACCAAAAGACATAGACTAGCTGAATGGATACAAAAACAAGACCCATGTATATGCTGTGACATGAGACCCACTTCAGACCAAGGGACACATACAGAATGAAAGTGAGGGGATGGAAAAAGATACTCCATGCAAATGGTAATCAAAAGATAGCTGGAGTAGCAATTCTCATATCACACAAAACAGACTTTAAAATAAAGACTATTACAAGAGACAAAGAAGGACATTACATAATGATTAAGGGATGAATCCAAGAAGAAGATATAACAATTGTAAATATTTATGCACCCAACATAGGAGCACCTCAATACATAAGGCAAATGCTGACAGCCATAAAAGGGGAAATCAATGGTAACACATTCATAGTAGAGGACTTCAACACCCCACTTTCACCAATGGACAGATCATCCAAAATGAAAATAAATAAGAAAACACAAGCTTTAAATGACATATTAAATGAGACAGACTTAATTGATATTTATAGGACATTCCATCCATAAACAACAGAATACACTTTATTCTCAAGGGCTTATGGAACATCCTCCAGGACAGACCAGATCTTGGGTCACAAATCAAGCCTTGGTAGATTTAAGAAAACTGAAATTGTATCAAGTATCTTTTCCGACCACAACGCTATGAGACTAGATATCAATTAAAGGAAAAAAACTGTAAAAAATACAAACACATGGAGGTTAAACAATATGATACTAAATAACCAAGAGATCACTGAAGAAATCAAAGAGGAAATCAAAAAATACCTACAAACAAATGACAATGAAAACACGATGACCCAAAACCTATGGGATGCAGCAACAGCAGTTCTAAGAGGGAAGTTTATAGCAATACAACCCTACCTCAAGAAACAAGAAAAATCTGAAATAAACAACCTAACCTTACACCTAAAGCAATTAGAGAAAGAAGAAAAAACCCCAAAGTTAGCAGAAGGAAAGAAATCATGAAGATCAGATCAGAAATAAATGAAAAAGGAATGAAGGAAACAATAGCAAAGAACTATAAAACAAAAAGCTGGTTCTTTGAGAAGATAAACAAAATTGATAAACCATAAGCCAGACTCATCAAGAAAAAAAGGGAGGGCTTCCCTGGTGGCACAGTGGTTGAGAATCTGCCTGCCAATGCAGGGGACACGGGTTCGAGCCCTGGTCTGGGAAGATCCCACATGCTGTGGAGCAACTGGGCCCGTGAGCCACAACTACTGAGCCTATGCATCTGGAGCCTGTGCTCTGCAACAAGAGAGGCCGTGGCAGTGACAGGCCCGCGCATCGCGATGAAGAGTGGCCCCCGCTCGCCGCAAAATGGATTAAAGACCTAAATGTAAGGCCAAACATTACAGAACTCTTAGAGGAAAACACGGGCAGAACACTCTATGACATAAATCACAGCAAGATCCTTTTTGACTCACCTCCTACAGAAATGGAAATAAAAACAAAAATAAACAAATGGAACCTAATGAAACTTAAAAGCTTTTCCACAGCAAAGGAAACCATAAACAAGACAAAAAGAGAACCCTCAGAATGGGAGAAAATATTTTCAAACGAAGCAAATGACAGAGGATAAATCTCCAAAATATACAAGCAGCTCATGCAGCTCAATATTAAAAAAACAACCCAATCCAAAAATGGGCAGAAGACCTAAACAGACATTTCCGCAAAGATATACAGATTGCTAACAAACACATGAAAAGGTGCTCAACATCACTAATCATTAGAGAAATGCTAATCAAAACTACAATGAGGTATCACCTCACATCAGTCAGAATGGCCAAAATCAAAAAATCTACAAACAACAAATGCTGGAGAGCGTGTGGAGGAAAGGAAACCCTCTTGCACTGTTGGTGGGAATGTAAATTGACACAGCCACTATGAAAAACAGTATGGAGGTTCCTTAAAAAACTAAAAATAAAACTACTATATTACCCAGCAATCCCACTACTGGGCATATACCTTGAGAAAACCATAATTCAAAAAGAGTCATGTACCACAATGTTCAATGAAGCACTATTTATAATAGCCAGGACATGGTAGCAACCTAAGTGTCTGTCGACAGATGAATGGATAAAGAAGATGTGGCACATATAAACAATGGAATATTAGTCAGCCATAAAAAAAATGAAATTGAGTTATTTGTAGTGAGGTGGATGGATCTAGAGTCTGTCATACAGAGTGAAGTAAGTCAGAAAGAGAAAAACAAATACTGTATACTAACACATATATATGGAATCTAAGAAAAAATGGTTCTGATGAGCCTAGGGGCAGGACAGGAATAAAGACACAGACATAGAGAATGGACTTGAGGACATGGGGTTGGGGAAGGGTAACCTGGGACGAATTGAGAGAGTAACACTGACATATATACACTACCAAATGTAAAATCGATAGCTAGTGGGAAGCAGCTACCTAGCACGGGGAGATCAGCTCAGTGCTTTGAGACCACCTAGAGGGGTAGGATAAGGAGGGTGGGAGGGAGAGGTAAGAGGGAGGGGATATGGGGATATACGTAGGCACATAGCTGATTTACTTTGTTATACAGCAGAAAGTAACGCAACACTGTTAAGCAATTAATACTCAAAGATATTAAAAATAAATAAAATAAAAGGTACAATATAATATAATAAAAGTATATATATTACATATAACAAAGGTATTACACTAACAAAAAGATATAACCATTATGAACATTTACGTATCTAATGACAGCCCATCAAAACATATGAAGCAAATACTGACAGAATTGAAGAGAGAAACATATAGTTCTTCCATAATAGCTGGAGAATTCAATACCTCATCCACAATAATGGATAAAACAACTAGATACAAGGTAAGTAAAGCAACAGAGGACTTAACACAGTAAATCTAATAGCTCTAAGAAACATATACAGGTGACTCTACCCAACAACAGAACAAACATTCTTCTCAAGTGCACTTGGGACATTTTACAGGATAGACACTATATTAGGCCACCAATTAAGTCTCAACAGATTTTAAATGACAGATATCATACAAAGTATCTTCTCTAACCACAGCAGGATGAAGTTAAAAATCAGTAACATAAAGAAAACTGAAAAATTCACAAAACTGTGTAAATTAACAAAAATACTTTTAAATAATCAATGGATCAAAGAAGAAACCCACAAGGGAAATTAGAAAATACTTAAGATGAATGAAAAGGAAAACATGACTTACCAAAACTTATGGGAGGCAATGAAAGTGGTGCAAAGGGAGAATTTTATAGGTATAAGTGCTTACACTAAAAACAAAGAACAAGAAACCAACTACCTAATATTACAACTTAAGGAATCAGACAAAGAAGAACAAACTAAACCCAAAGTTAGTAGAAAGAAGGAAATGATAAAGATCAGAGCAGAGATAAAAATAAATTTTTGAAAATAGAGAAAATCAATGAAAACAAAAATTAGTTCCTTGGAGACATCAACAAAATTGACAAACCTTTAGCTAGATAAACTAAGAAAAAGAGAGACGAATCAGATTACTAACATCAAAAATGAAGTGTGGACATTACTACTGATACTACAGAAATAAAGAGGATTATTAAGAGAGTACTATGAACAATTGTACAACAACAAATTGAATAACATAGATGAAATGGACAAATTCCTAGAAACACAATATCTGCCAGGATTAAACCATGATGAAATAAATAATCTGAATAGACCTACAACTAGTAAGGAAACTGAATCAGTAATCAAAACTCTCCCAAAAAAGCAGTCCTGGACCTGATGTTTTCACTCATGAAGTCTACAAAACATTTAAAGAAGAACTAATGCCCATCCTTCTCAAATTTTTCCAAAAAACTGAAAAGGAAGGAACACTTTCTGATACACCAGTATTACCCTGATACACCAGTATTACCCTGATCCCAAAGCCAAACAAGAGACTACATGAAAACTACAAGCCAACATCCCTTATGAACATTAATGCAAAGATCTTCAACAAAATACTAGCAAAGAGAATTCAATAGTATATTAAAAGTATTACACCCTATGACTAAGTGGGATTTATTCCTGGAATGCAAGGATGGTTAAACCTATGAAAGCTGATCAATGTAATATGCCATATTAACAGAATAAAGGGGGAAAAAACCCAGACGATCATCTCAATTAATGCAGAAAAGCATTTGACAAAATTCAGCAACCATTCCTGATAACAACACTCAGCAAACTAGGAACAGAAGGAAACTACCTCAACATAATAAAACCTATATATAAAAATTTCACAGCAAATATCATACTAAATGGTAAAAGACTGAAAGCTTTTCCTCTAAGAACAAGAAAAGAAGACAGATTTTAAGAGGCATGTGATGCCCCTAACCGAACGGTTCTCAAATTTTTATATGCAGATTAATGGAATGTGTGAAAATTCAAAATGCCTGAGCTCTTTTGGATCAGAACTTCCATACGTAAGGCTCAAACTCTGTATTTCTATTAAGCTTCCCAGTTGACATTTATGCACACCAAAATTTAAGTACCACAGACCTAATCATCTATAAATCTGGAAATATAAGCTATGGAATAATTATACTTTCTTTGGTAAAATTATAAAATGAAAGACTAGAAAAATACATTTCACAAATGATAACACACAGTATAAAAATGTATATGTACATGTTTATTGGTGAGGACCATATAGAAAATACCAGTGCAATAAATTCTTAAGTAAAAACTCCTGTCATTGTCTTTACTCTAAAGCAATTATTTTTTATCCTGGCTGAATCTCTCTAAGTAGATATAGTAAAAGGCTTTCCAATATAATAACAAACCACAAGCCTATTGCAAAAGCTGCACTCATCCCTAAAAGCTCCATATGAACAACAAACATCATTAATAACCAATAAATGCATTATTAGTTTACTAATAATTATTTAAAACAGATAACTAGTTTATTTGTACCAGATACCTGCAAAGAACAATGAAGAACTTGACAAGCAAAATTGACAAGGCTTGTTGTTCTTCCTCTAACCCATCTGCCGTTTTCTGAACACACTGTAGAAGCTGGGTCCTCAGAACCTGCAGAATATTATCAGGAAGCAGAGATATTCCTGGAGGCACATCATCTACCCTACAATATAAGGGGAACAAAATAAGAAGGGTGTTTAAATACAGGACGAAAATCTGTGGCACTTGAAAGTAACTACATTTTCAGCTCAAATCCTAAAGAAGCTCTTTTAGTCCAGATATTCTGTGCCTTCCTCTCTGCATGGTACCACCAAATGGAGAGTGACATTTTAGAAGATTATTAGAGCAGAGTGGTTAGTCTTACTTCAGAGGAGTCTTACTGAAAAGAGAGAGAGAAAAAGGCTATTTAGTATTTTCAGTTGTGCTATTGTTAAAGAAAATATTTAAAATATAAGATTAGTTCACCTTCTACTATTTAGAAATACAATGTGTCTATAACATTTCTAAAAGAAACAGTAACTAGCAAATAAAAATGAAGTACCTATAACTAGTTTAATATCTGTTAACTGCTTTACTAAATAAATAATATTCACCTACCTATAGGGTCCCTAAGCCATCTGATCAGAAGAGGGAGAGAAGATAACTAGCAAAAGGAAAGGAGAAAGACAGAGGTGAATGTAGAACCCCAAGCATGAGCATCAATAGAAGACTCTTTTAAAGCCAATATTTTGTCAATATTTTGTCAATATTTGTCAATATTTTGTGACAGGTAATTTCTGTGTAAGAAGACAATATGGTTCTTTACGGGCAAAAGCCAATACCAGATGTAACTGGCTCCTTGCATGTGCCTCTCACATTAAACCCCCCTAGATTCAAAGTCAGAAGCCTGCATACTAAGTTCCACCTCTGTAACATGAAGCACTTCATTTAATCTCTGAAGTTCCCTAATCTATAAAACTGTAATATCAGATATCCACCCTATTTCACTGGGCTCTGAAACCAGAAAGTCAATGTGCATTTTCAGCTTTAAAGTATGTAAAGAACTCTAAATATGTAATGCATTTTAAATATACTATCTCTAAAGCCTCAGAATCTTTTCATAAGCCACTGTATTCTTATTTCCCTATCTCTGTTAAGAAAAATGCTCAAATAGCAAAGCAGCACTATGAAGAGTTCCATGATTAAATGACAATTATACTTTATAATAGTCTTTTCTTCAGATAATGCTTAACATGAAGTATCAGTACTATTTTTACATTGAGTAAAAGGCATTCACTGAAGACAAAGAAATCTGAAGCATCTTAGCAGTAGTCACATAAACACGTATATAAATATTATTAGCCTCTTCCTGAACCACCCTACAACATAAATTAATAAGGCATTTTATAAAATAAACACAAGTCACAAAGCATACTACCAAGGGTGCCTAATACTATATAACCATGTTCTAAAAATACATGTTTCATTTTAGTCTGGGCATCATTTCACTTGAAGCTTTGGATTCTTTCATTCTCTCTTATTTATAGATGGTATCAGAAACACTCATTTTTATATTTAATTTTTTTTGGAGAGCTAAAAAGAGAAGATTAGAAAAACCAGAGTAACTTCAAAATAATAAACAAACATTTAAATATAACTGATTTTCAAGACTAAGTGAAACTATGCCTCTGCACTTTTCCAAAAATGTTAAATCAACAAGCAAGAAGACATTAGATTTCCCAATATTCCATTTTAGTTATTTAAAAGAGTAGTTCCTTTTGTCCTTAATTGTCCCATTTTCTATTTACACACGTTTTGATTTAACTGGGCATAAAAAAATAGTAACTTCTAAAAGAGCAATCTTTTTTTTTTTTTTTAACTGATTCTCATTATAAAATTGGGGCTTACTTAGGACATGGCATATAGACAAAGTTGGAATTTTGGGCTTTGTTCCTAATGTGATGAGGATTTAAGAATTCAGAAGAATTTTCCCACCTCTAGGACTTTATTGCCCAAAATTCTAAGCTCCTTATGCTGAAATTTCCCAAACTCCAGAAATCTTTTCCACTCCTCAATTTGCCTTGTCAATGTCTACCGCTGCCAATTGTTCTCTCTAACTAGGAAAAAGTCCAGCTTAAATTTCAAGGCTTTATAATCTGGTAAAAGCAATCCCTGCCTTCTATTATGAATTCCTAACTTGGAAATTCTATAAAGTCAGTATACTTTAAATGAGGATTATCTGTGAGTTTCTTATCTTTAAGGTGACTAGACTAGTTTTACACATCTTACATATAATATTCACTTGAAAAATTGAAAGTTTACTACAGGCAAAATCTAAATTCATGGTTCAGTCTGAAAGACAAAGATATGAAATATAATTTTAAATAAACCAACTAAATCACAAGTAAAAAAACACTCTTGAGATTCTTGATCTTACTTTAAATATAGTGGCAATATAAGTCTACATAGTGTTTTTAGAAATGACCTCCCAAGGAAGAAGACATTTATAATGTATGGATGATAACAAGTGCATCTTACAAAACCCCAAGCATTCAAGGCCAAAATCCTGACTCCATAAGATCCTTAGGCTCATGATTTAAAATGAGCTATAAATTTTTAAAATAAAAGCACTCCTGGGCTTCCCTGGTGGCACAGTGGTTGAGGGTCCGCCTGCCGATGCAGAGGACGCGGGTTCGTGACCCAGTCTGGGGGGATCCCGCATGCCGCGGAGCGGTTGGGCCCGTGAGCCGTGGCCACTGAGTGCTGTGCGTGCGGAGCCTGCGCTCCGCGGCGGGAGAGGCCACAACAGTTGAGAGGCCCGCGTACTGCAAAAAAAAAAAAAAAAAAAAAAAAAAAAAGCACTCCTAAGTATAAACTACAAGAATAGTCTTTTATGAGTAGAAATCAATAATACATAATCTTATTTTGAGTTCAAGATTTAATACTGATTTTCAACCTTTATAAACCTGTTACAAATAATCTAACGGGGAAGAACTCTGAGACTGTATTTATAAATGAAGTACTTGTGCTTTCTGAGCATAACCATATTGTTTCTTAAGTTCATTGCCTTGGTCCAAAGCGCTAATGATTTTTTTCTCTGAATTATTACAATTACCTCTTAACTGGGCTTCTTGCCTTCAGTCTCAACCCTTTCCAATCCAACCTCCATAATGCCACCAAAGTGACTTTTAAAAAACAAACTTGATCATGATACTCTTTTTTTTTAAAATAAATTTATTTATTTTATTTATTTATTTTTGGCTATGTTGGGTCTTTGCTGCTGCGCTCAGGCTTTCTCTAGTTGCGGCAAGCGGGGGCTACTCTTGGTTGCAGTGTGCGGGCTTCTCATTGCGGTGGCTTCTCTTGTTTCAGAGCATGGGCTCTAGGCGCGTGGACTTCAGTAGTTGTGGCATGTGGGCTCAGTAGTTGTGGCTCGCGAGCTCTAGAGCACAGGCTCAGTAGTTGTGGCACACAGGTTTAGTTGCTCTGCAGCATGTGGGATCTTCCCGGACCAGGGCTCAAACCCGTGTCCCCTACATTGGCAGGCGGATTCGTAACCACTGTGCAACCAGGGAAGTCCCATGATACTCTTATGCAGAAAATTCTTTAGTAGAGCCTTGTATCTTCCATAACAAAAAGTCAAAGTCCATTAGCAATGTATTTGTGGCACTTCATGATCTGGCTCCTTTGTGATTCTCCAGATTCAACTCACCTGTGTCTAAACTCTCACTGCTTACCTCCACCCCCAAACTGCAAATATTTTCGTCCTTGAAGATTTTTAATTCACCAGATACTTTTTCATCCTCAACCACCACCCATTTCTCCCCTCCTCTCTCAACACATCTCTATAAATGGAGTTGCTTTTGTGGCTAAAAGTATGTCCTCATTTCTCCAGCTTTTAACCACAGCAAACCTAACCTCTCTTACCTAGGTCCACAAGATGACTTGAGATACAATACGAACTTTATCTGGGAAGTGGGCCTGGGAACAGTGAGATTGCAGAAACAGATGTAGGCAGAGGAATGGAAGAAAATATTTGTACTTTCACTTATACATTTCCGTAAGATGCTAATTTTTCCCTCATTTTATGATTTTCAAACCTAGTTTTTAAAAAATCTGAAAACTTAACCTCCTCCAAGATGTTTTCTAAGGCCCTTCTCTAAAGCTAGGAAAAGAAGTATAATAAGTTTCAACTACAATAGAATGCCTGTCATATAATAAAGAAATTTTATGCAAATGAATAAAGTGATGCATGGTGGACCCTTAGATAGTTTCAAAAAAGGGGCTGGCCACATCTGAATAACTCACTCCCGCAACTTTCTGGGAGGGGAGAGGAGCTGGAGACTGAGTTCAATCACACGGTCAATGAAGTAATAAGACCCAACAAAATTCTGACACCCAGAGCTCAAAGAGCTTCCTTCTTTGAAAGCACTGATGTTCAGGGAGAGCAACGTGCCCTGACTCCAAAGGGAAA